GCAATAAAACAGCAGAATAATTTTAGTGACTGTTTAAGCTTTCAAGTGATTTTGGCCGGGACTAAAGCCATATTCGGCAACCTAAAATAGAGGCCGAATGTGCCAGCCAGGGCCAAGATTGATGGGCTCCCACACTTGCTGATTAGCCAATGGGAAGGGTAGCTCGTACGCCAATTACCATGTTTCTCTTTTATTAGTGTAGATAACAAATTTAACTTGCCTTGTCCAGCACAGTTCCTTGCATCAAGTTGGTGCCCAAGGGATGTTGACTGACTGATGCAGAAATTCCCACATGGTCTTCAAAAAATTCACTGATGTCCCTATCCTAGTGTCTCTGTCTTGGGGAAGAGAGCAGAGCTTTTAAATTTGACAGCAGAATGAAGTAACCGTATCTTATCTGCATGGTAATAAAAACCCAGGCCACATCCTTCAGGAATGATATCTTAGTTCATCATTCAAGCAATAAAACAACAGAATAATTTTAGTGACTGTTTAAGCTTTCAAGTGATTTTGGCCGGGACTAAAGCCATATTCGGCAACCTAAAATAGAGGCCGAATGTGCCAGCCAGGGCCAAGATTGATGGGCTCCCACACTGGCAGGGCGGCCACAGAGCTCAGCACACTGCAGACCTGAGTCAGCCGCACCCATCCATCACCTGCCTCTCACAGAAATGACAACCTGAGTGCTGCGCTGTGCACTGAGACTTGATTGAAATTTCTGACACAGCAAAATGAAAAAGGATATGTTTGCACTTGATCAACATGGAGTTTCCTAGTACCTCAAACAGAAAGCAGGAACATGAAGCCAAACCCAAACACCATTTATTTTATAATGGTATTCTTGTATCTTGCACGTTCTATGGTCCATAGGTAGCCTGCCCTCACAAGAATGTCTTTTTTTATGTTAGTATCTCTCCCAGCCCTACAGTTCCCTGTCCCTTCTCTTCTCTTGCGTTTTCTTCTCCTTTATCTAGGAGAACTTTGATCTTCATTTGTTCGTCTCTGGGTTTACCGTCATGTCCCCATTCTTGTACACCCTCCTCACTGCCCCATCTTCCATACCCGATGTCAGGCCCCTGTGAAGACAGGCAGCTTGCCTAAGAGTCCTGCCACCCAGCCCCCACCAGACTGTCTTTGATAGTTGCTGGCATAGAGTAAATTCTTATTTTTAAAATCTAGATGTTTTATTCACATAGATAATCATCTTATTCTTGTAGGAAGCTGAGATGGCTTCTGGAAATACACACAGTTCAGTGTGATATCTTTGATGATGAGGACATGGTAGTGAGATTGAACAGTGGCCTCTATCCCTTTGTGATTCTCCTCTGGGTCCTTCCCATATCCCTAGTGAACAAGCAAGCTCAGATCCCATGAGACAGTGCCCTGGCCCAAATCCACCGCAGGTCCGGGGGCAGCACAGCTCTGTGGATTGACTTGGTAGGAGTGGGTGTGCGGCCTGGCCTGCTCGGTGCAGTGGCCACTTGGAGATAGAATGTTTTTATTTAAACATTTAATAAGTTTGGTTTTCAAGACATTCAAAATGTGTTTTCTTCTTTGACACCGTGTCTGCAATGAAGGAAAAAACAACTAACAAGTGAATAGTGAAGCCTGGCTGGCCAATACTTCTTGCCTTTCATGTGGATGTGGTTAGTTGAATCACAAAGAACAAAGCACACTTTTCTAACTCGATTATGCTCTAATTTTACTTACATTATATTATAGTAGAGGAAAATTACAGAACATTTAGCAAGGAGAAAGTCATCTACTCTCTTAACTCATAAAGTGTAATTTTTTAAACATCTGCTTCTAAGCTTTTTTTCTAGTTGTAACAATAGAGCCTTGCATTGTGGCGCAGTAATTTTAATATCTGCATAATATTCCTTCTATGGTGTACGATCATCATTCTCTATTAGTTAGCATTTAAATTGCTTCCAATTTTTCACTATAAGTACTGCAGTGAACATCTATGAGCATATGGTTTTCCTTATAGTTTGGATTATTTCCTTAGGATACATTCCCAGAGGTAGAATTATGGGCCAGAGTGCTTTAATATTGGTATGATTCTTTATACATATTGCCAAATTGCTTTCCAAAGGATTGTACAGCTTCCAAAGCCACCATTGATATAAGGATATAGGAGGCCGAGAGCTTCATAGCATCCTGCCAGCTCCAGAAAGTAGGCACTTAATCAGTAAGTTAACCAGGGGAGAAAAAATATTAAACTCCGTGTTGTAATTAAGAAGTCTATCTATTGCTATATTTGTTATTGCGCATTTATTTCCATACAGAGTTGACCTTTGAACAGCACAGTTTTGAACTTAGTCCACTTATACGCAGATTTTTTTTCAATAAATACCTGCTCTGTTTTCGATTGGCGGATGGGAGTCTGCAGATGCCACTGTATGCACTGAATTATACCCATTTATAGAGGACTTGAGCATCGAGGATGTTGGTATCCACAGGGGTCCTGGAACCAATCCCCTGCAGATACCGAGGGACAAATGCATTATAGGAAACAAAAGTTATCTGTGGTTTTCGACAAGGGTCACTGTATATACACATATGTGGTATATATTTATGCTACACTCATCTGGCATCAGGGGAATTAACTGCTCTGTTTTGGACTCAGGCAGTGAAGTGTGTACCCCACAAGTTCCCCCCTGTGGTCCATTCTGTCACTACATTTGCCGGGACCTTGGACCTTTAGGCCTGTGTGAATGGGGACTGCCCCAGGCCTGCAGGCTGTCTTCCTGGAGCTAGGGGCTCCCCGCTCTGCACTCTGATGGGGAGTGGGGAAGGTCATTTGAATCAGGCCCCGATGGACCTGTGGAGGAGGAACTGGTTCTTCGTGGGGGTTTGGCCTCCAGCGGACTTCCGGGCATGCCTAGGATGGCAGTGCTAAGGAGTTCCCTGACCTTTGGCTTCAGGGGAGCAGAGGATTGTTTTGGAACTGGGGTCGACCTTGGCATCGCTGTGAGTCTCCCAGGTGTCCTTGCCAGCCGGTCCATCCCCTCAGGTGCCAAACCAGGGGACTGGTCCCAGGGCACCTGGAGGCTGTCACAGAGGGTTCCCCTGCAGTTTGCTCCCGCACACCTGCCCCCAGGCATCAGGCCCTCTTGGCCTTTGGGATAGGGCCTGCCCTCACCCACCACATCTTCTTTTTGAAGCAACTGGAGGAAGTGGTGAAGAAACAAAATGGATTCACCACTTGGCTATGGATTCACCAAAACCAAACTAACAAAATGACTTAAATCAGAATGGGCAGAAACATGAGGCATAGATTTTATTTTACGTTGGCTAGCCTGAGGACTTAAACTTCTGAATTTCAGTTATGCATCAATGCCTGGCAAGAGATAGAGATAGAGATAGAGATAGAGATAGAGATAGAGATAGAGATAGAGACCCTATAGATAATCCACTGAAGAACTTAGGAAAGAATGTGCATGTGAAGAACTTAAGAATGTTCTTGTGTCCAGACCATCTGACAACCATTATCCAGGTCACCTGGCATCTGGAAGATCACCATCTCGGATCAATTCAGATCCTAACAAGGAAGGACCGATTCTTCTCAAGAAGGTGCTTTTTGACTGTAAGAACTCTCAACTTTTCTCCTTCTTTCAAAACATCTGGGTGTGGAAAGCTCTGGAGAGAATAGGGACTTCACAGAAATCTCAGTCTCGGTAGAAATTTGAAATAGCCCTCGAAAGACTTTAGACTTTCCGGGTGTGCATTAAAGAGCCAACATTCTTTTTAAGAGAGTTCTGACATTTCCCCCTCCCCAATCCACTCTGTTCTCAATGGCATTATGGGACTTGTTTTAGCAGTAACATTGTTATTGCTGCACTTAGGAAATGGATGCTATCGAAAAGAATAAACAGAGTGAGGACTTCACTAGATGGGCAACGAGGAAGGAAAACATTTTCGCTTTTCAAAGCCAGGTTTTACATTCCTATACTTAAACCCAGACACAGTAGCCTCCTTGTCAAAAAAAAAAAAAAAAATCCCTGCTGTGGTGACAATGGTGGCCGTGATGGCACCCCACACTAGGGGCTGCAGGGGCTATTGACAGCCACAGAACTGAAAAATCCAGATTAATCCCCAGGATCTTTACTTGTGTCTTATTTTAAAAAATAAGTTTCTGGCTTATCCCAAGATTAAAATTTTCCGAGGTGCAAAATAGCTGTTCTCATTGCTTGCCGGATGACTCCTCTTGAAATAGTTTCTTTCTTTTTCCCTCCTGATAACCTGTCAGAGCCCATCATTTTGCTTCTAGCTAGGTCCTAGGGCTGTATAACTTCCTTGTAGTTATTTAAAGTAAGACTTATTGAGCAGAGAGCTGTTTTGATTGGCTTACAACCTCTCGTTGGCATAAAATGTAGTGTTTATTGATTGTGGAGCAGGTCCATGGGTTCTCATATCTCGCTTTTCCTGTTTTTGTTTAGTGGGTGTATATTTTCTGTATAATATTGGTTCTGCTACTCCTGGGCATCTCATAAAGCTGTCTGGCTGTGCACTATCTTCCGAGGTAGCATGTGTGGGATAGCTAACATAGTGACTGCCCAACAGAAGTGCAGTAATACACGTGCCTTCCTTCCTACCGCCCTCTCTCCACCCCTCTCATCCTTCTCTCCTTTTGGTGGAATTTCCCTTTAGTTTAGAGACTGGCCTTCTGTTTGGCTATCCGAATGGGATTAGACGACTGCTTTTGTATTTTTTTCGGGTTAAACACATTCAATTTACTAAAATTGCATGAAATAAAATGTTCTCCCAGCAGGCGGCACTGTAGGCTTACAGAGGCTCTGGACGGGGCTGGCTTGGGGACCAGGTGCATATCCTGTAGTGTACAGTCCAAAGAGAAACCTTACTTGCTGGGTTTGATTGAGGACAGAGTTGCATGCCCAGGATGTCATCCTGGAATCCAACAGCATGGTCATGCGACCTTTTTACAGACGAGGCAATCAATAGAGGCCGAGTGGGACATCAGTGCATACAGCCTTCCTAGCTCTGCAATCCTGAAGAAAGAAAGGGTAAATTGGCCAAAGTAAGCTTTGAGAATAATCCTGGTGAAGCACCAAAATGTTGGCTTCAGATATGCTGTGTTAACAGAAACTGGACTGACTTAAAGGAGGAAACAAACAAACTAAGTAAACCAAAAACGTAAATATAAATAAAGAGTATGATAGTGCAATGGTTCTTAATCAAAGATACTCATCAGAATCACCCTTAGAGTTTGAAACAAAAAAAACATTCCTTGATTGCACCCCTCAATGCTCTGAGTGATCAGTCTGGGTGGGCTCTGGGCACATGTGTTTTCTTAAGTTCCATAGATGATTTTAATGCATACTCCTAGCATCTAGCACAACACTCCAAAGGCCATTGTATTAGTCTTGACCCTACAGTTACTGTTGTATAATGGGAAGAAAAGGTCACATCTAGGGAGCTTTCATTTTTCTGCATCAGTTTGCTCATCAGTAAAATGGGCCAATTTGCAGAGATGGACTAGTTTCTTAAATTCAGAGTCCAGGCTTTAGTTATGATCCGGTGCCCAGACCACCTCCCACCCACCCCCCTCCAAAAAAAAAAGTAGTGGGAACATGCTGAATGGAGAGACATCACTGTTGAGATCCTTGCCTTCCTCCACAGTCAGTGATAGTGCTGACATTAACAGGATTAACTTGGCCTTTTCCTTAAGGCTGGTCGGTATTTGGAAAGGGAGTCTTTTTCATTTTCTAGTCTAAGAAATAGCAAATGAGTCTTAAAACAGTGCTCATCCAGGTCACTAATTATTTAATGGTTTGGGACTCAGAGACACATCAAAGGAATAATAAAATCTGTTCACAGCAGGAGGAGAGCTCTTCAACTTTTGAGTGGGTTATATCCAGATGAATTCATTGTAAGTGAAAATGTATTTAATACACTTAACCTGCAGAACATCATAGCCTAGTGTAGCCTACCTGAAACACACTGTGACTCATTCAAAGTGGAGTGAATTAATTAATGATGCAAGATTAATAGACAAGTAGGATTTTCATTATCTACAGGAAATATGGGTGGTCATTTAAGGGATACATCTGAAATAAAGAGAAGCAATTCCCCCAATCTTTCAGTATCCTATATGTTAGCTGAGCAAGTATTTAACTTTACATTGCCCATGTCTAAGGACCTCTTTGAAAATATAAACATCCCTAGGAAGGACAGACCGCCCATTGGAATAAGTGTGATAGCCAAATCTTTTCCTCTCAGGCCAGAGGACGGGTTCAGGTTGCAGGCTCAATCCCCACTGTGGGGCATGCAGGAGGCAGCTGATCAATGATTCTCTTTCATCATTGGTGTTTCTATCTCTCTCTCCCTCTCCCTTCCTCTCTGAAATCAATAAAAATATTTTAAAAATAGAAGGAGGAGGAGGAAGAGGAAGAGAAGGAGGAGGAGGAGGAGGAGGAGAA